GTTTAGTCTTTTTTCTTTTTAATAATCGAAAAATTGTTTTCACTCGGTTGCGAACAAAACAAAATGCATTTATCTATTGTTAACCGATCAAAATGTTATCGTACACACACAAAGAAAAAGAGAAGAGAAATAAAATGCCACATCGTTGAATGGCGTACAATTCAATGTCAACGATTATTTTATGCCAAGACGCCTTTTATACCAACAAATAGAGATGCACAAAGTGAGAAGGCAGAGAATGTTTTCATTTTTTTCTTCATATAAAAGTAAATAAACAAAAAAAAAAAGGCGAATCAAAAGAAAAGATGTAAACCAAACGTATGGTGACGATTTTACTAGTGTATGAGCCTAATCCTTTTGTTTGTCTTATTATTTTATGATGCGGTTTTTTCGCTCCTTTCTTCGTAATCAAATGAAATTTACAATAGAGAGAAAGGTTTTTCTGCTGTTCAACAGATTCTTGACCACCCACAATAAGAATGTTTGTAAAAAGATAAATTTGAATCATAACTTATGTCATTTAAACTAAATGAGATATTTCTTCGAATCGTCAATTTTATTAGTTATCAAAAAATCGAAAACGATTTATGTGTGAGCATATCTCTCGCCAGCAAATAAAATCCCATCCATGTGTTTTATATTTGATTCGATCCAAAATTCGTTGCATACAACACAAATTTAGCGCTAATTCAAAGGCCAATATTTCCCAATGTTTAATGAAATAATTGGATTCGAGAGCCGCCTCTTTTTTAATGCAATGTCATTTAATTCGGTTTTGTCGATTGAATTTCAAGATTGTTCCACTCGATTCATTCGATGATATCAAGACAAAGTCTCAAAAAACCCGCATCGTTTCAATTTCGGTGTACATAATCGAAACCAAATCGAAAATCACCGCTCTCTCACACGCACGACAAGCAACTCAACAATTCGCTTCACTTGTACTACACACACTCAAACCCATGTTCATCATTCATTTTTCAATTATGATTCAATTTAAGCACTCAATAATTGTTCAAACAACGGCTTATAAATCAATAGCAATATAAAGGATAAACAACTACTTTTCACTGGATTCTTTTATTATTTTCACCGAGACTCTGACCTCATGTTAAAACATTGAATAAATCGAAAACATTTATTGTTGCTGTTGCTGCTGCTGTGTCGTGTGAATGTATCATTTGTAACTGTCGGCCATGTCAGCATAACTGCATTCCAACAAATCACACAGTCAACCCACTTGCGTTCAGTACCAAAAATTATTCTAATCGGGTTCGGGTTCTAATCCATTTTTCAATCGAGTTCGGCTTGAGAAACCAATGAGAACCGCAATAGAGATGGTCAGAAAATATCTAGCTTTGACCAGAAAATTTATTAGATCAAAGGTCGCGAAATATTGAAAGAAAATAAACGGTGCGAAGGAATATGAAAGACGAGAATATAAAATTAAGTTGTTAACACCGAAAGACCATTTCAATCAGCCGCACTGTTAGTCGACAGCAATAAGAAATACAAGAATAAAAAGAAGACCTAAGAAAATCGCTGATAACGATTCAAAATACGAACTGATTAATTTCAACTGATCATCAAAATTGAATTACAACAATTAATAACTTGTTCAACCAGACAAATCGGCTGGTCAATCTATTGTACGCATGCACATGTGTATCAAATCATTCTTTGTTTGACAGATGTAGCAGATAGATGTAATAACTTGATCTTATGGCTTATAATTAATTGTTCTCTTTAAAATTGATCAAAATGTTTATCTTCACACATTGTATTGCATACAATCACTTGAAATAACCAATGTTTTGATAGCACAAAAAAAAAATTGTTTGAAAATGTGTGGAGAAGAGTTTTGTCTTTCCAAAGAAGCATGAAAGATTTTCTATAAAGCAAAGAACTGAAGATAAATTACTTTCGGGAGCAAAGCAACATGAGAACTCGACTGAAGTAGCTCTTACAAAAAATGGACAAATATTCATTCTCGAAAAAAATGTTGAATTGATCCGTTCATTTCAATTGAATCAGATTGTATTTGAACTTTTCGTCACAATAATACTGTATTTTCTACAGAAACCTGTACGCATTTATGCTAAAACACAGAGTTGAAAGGGCATCATGTTGTCTCATCATCAATTCAGTCTATTTCATAGTTTGTGAACATTCCATTTAAGAATTTATTGATTCACACTGCATTCTAACAAAGATTTCAATGTTTATATTTTGTTTTTAACTGATCGGTATTCTGTGCACCAGCCAATAATTGCACTCGAATGTGTCAAACTTCCAATGAAACGCAGTTAAGTTCCACTGAAGAAGATCTGTAATGGTGAGAGAAAATGAATAAAAAAGCACAAACGTTGTTCAAATTGAGTGTATCGTAATTGCTGTTGCGCAACAAGCCTACTATATCTTGACGAAGTCATACATATTTCGTTAGTATGGTAGGTTCCATTGAGTCTCTCTCTCGCGAACACGCCAACAGAACAATATAATTGAAATCTCTATCTTGGAGTTTTATTGCAATGCGAGTGAGACATCATCGCGGAAATATTTGAGAAAGAGAAAACCAAAGAATGCCACAAACACAGAGAGACGAAACAAATAAACAAATAAACAAAATAGATCGATGCATTAGTTGCATTTGAATAACTGTGCCGTGGAATAATTTCGTTGCCATTGCACGAGCATGAGGTGAACAAAATCCAGTTTTGTTTATTATTTCATCTGATCTTCAAATCAGTCAGTCGAACCAAATGGCTTGTGTATGTGTGCATGCAATTTTATTGAATGCAAACGAATGTCAAGTTGCGGCAAAGCAGAACTTGTTGCACTGATACCAAAAATAAATTTTGTTGTTTTATTGTATGTTTGAAGTACAACCAAATCCATATAAAGATATGTTCTAGTCGGTGGAATGCTTGCTTGAGAATGGAGGAAAAAAAAACGTCATTCGCAAACATTGCGCACACTGATGAAGATATCAACTCATATTGTTCGCACAAATGTATGCCTTTGACCACAACACAAGATACTATTGTGCACTCTTCAATTGAACCTTGGCAAAGCATACAAAAGGCGAAGAAAAAAATACCATCAACACCGAGAAGACGTAAACTCGATGCACCGACAGCGTTTCAATTTCATAAATATTGCCGACGCAACACACATTTTATATCCAAATAAATTTTATTTTGAGTGCACAATAACAGATTGTCATCTTCACGTGACGGCTTCTTTTCGCCATATTCACCATATCTCAAACTGCGTACACACTCTCGTAAACAGTTCAAACCAATAAATGTACACGCGTTTGCAGTTTGGCTTAACTTTTTATTATTGTTTTTTTTTTTTTAAATATCGAGAAATTATCCAGCAGCGAATTAGATATCCATTTCTATGCTTTGTGTGTTGCAATATGCGAACAACAAAAATTATTACGGCTTTCGATTAAGATTTTTCTGTGAAGCTGAATTTATGACGATAAACGAGAATGAATCACATTGTAAAAATTGTGAAGGGAATTCGTTGCATTTTTTTCCAAAACAAAAATATGTACAAATATTTTGAGAAAATCGGAGGTGCTTATGATAGGTTTATGAAAAAAAATTGTAAAAAAAAGTAGAAAACAGAGAAACAATTGAATAAAACTGTCAAATTTTAGCAAATAAGTGACAATTCTCTTGAGCACTCCATTTAACACGAAATCATCCCATTTAACCAGAGGGTGAAAGCGTGCTCAAAGTGAAGTGTTTTGATTGATTAGTACAATTGTTGATTTAAAGTACCCTCCTCAATTACGTTCATTTCCAAAAACAGGGAAATTACTAAAAACATTCATCGATTGAAAATTATTTTTTTTCCGGGGTATTTTCACTAAAAATCACCAAAAAACTGCACCAATCAATCAATAGATCACGGGTTTCTCTCCAATTTGAAGGGATGCGTCATGATTAATTAGACGCGAGAAGTGTATAAAATACGTTCGTTATTTGAGACACTTATATGGATGTATGCCGAAATGTTCATTGGATCGTGAAAAAATCGAACATTCTCTTCAGAATTTCATGCCCATGTTACACAGTTCCTAAAGAAAAAAAATTCTATACTTTAAAAATCGAGCCCAACCAATTGTTTTGCGTGAGCTCAGCTGCTGCTGCAATATCAATCGTATAAAATTATGCATGCCAAATATCAGCAGTTACATTTTTTCCCTTGTTTGCCGTATATTCGATGCACGTATCCAAGAAATTATCATATCAATAGAGACCGTTTGTGTGTGCGTATTGAGCTAAATGTCCTTAAATAAACAAAGTTCCATTTTAAAAACATGTTGTAATTGTCGTGTAGTGTGTTTTCGTTTCATTTATTGTCATGCTTTTTGTTATTGCATCAGGTCATTTGATTTTCTGGCCGGTTCTGCATATTTTATATTCCGGTCTCTTTGTGCATTTGTTCTGATTTTTTTAAAAAGGTGTGTAAAAAATGAATTAATTCCATACATTCACGAAAATAACTTCCAACCAATGTACTACACACTCGGACGTGCAAAGCAAAATCTGTGATGGTGTCCAATGAACGTTCTTCGTTTTCATCATTTTTTCCGACACATTTTAAAAACTTAGCACATAATTATTGACGATCGTAAAACATGCATATTGATTACTTTTCATTACTGCTAATTAGCGTTCATCGGTGCCGCTGAATGGTTAGCGTGATGGTTAACGCGGAATGTACTGCATAAAAAATGGGAAAAAAGCGGTGGTTAAGGAAAAAAACATCAAAAGATTGATGCTCTCTTAGGCCGTGTTGTTTGACGAGCGATCTGATTATATTCCGCAAAAAAAGACAGAAAATTCTTCTTTTGGTAAATTCTTTTTATTTAAATTGCAACATTTTCTGCTGTTCAATTTCTATTTTTACACCGATTTTTAATTAAAATTATATCTCCGTATAAGTACACATTGAAAATTAATTAGTCTTCGAAGGTTTATGCTCTAAAAATGAAACCACTGCTCTTTAAAAAAAAGAGAGTGAAGTGTGAGAGAGAAAAAAAAACAAATATTCACACAAACATGCACTTTTTAAGTCTATTAAAACATTAAATCATCTTAAATAAATTCTAAAATACTGTTCGACCCTTTAATTCGATGAGACCTATTCAATTTTAATTAAAACCTCAACATATCTATTCATTGGCGACATTCTAATATTTTCTTACCAACTACGCTAAACATAACCACTGGGAACATGTAAACTCAACTTACAACAAACTGATGACTAAAACAGCAAAGATAAAAAATCCATTTTTTTTTTAAAGAAACTTTCTTTGACTTTTTATGACTTTAAATCTTTTTGCTTCAAATTTAATTGCTACTAACGACCGAAATTTCGTATGAGTTGGTCGATAATTGTACTAAATTATTAGTTTCGCTATCATAATAAGTTAAACATTGATTGCCATGCGAATTCGATAAAACTGGATCGTTGCAGTACTCGTTAATGATTGGGTTGCAATTTGTTGCATATTGTTGCATCTCATGATGATGTTGTTGCTGCAGCTCCAAATTCGTAAGATTGGTGGAAAGATGTTCAATGCTACTGCTGCCATAGTATTCGTGATGATTGACTAAATTCGAATTGAATGTGTTGTTGAATTGATTGCTTGGCGATTGTGAAAATGCTTCGCTTGCTTTTCGTTTTTGACTTTTGAAGTTGTCGTGAATGTTATTGTTGTTAATGGTGGCACTGTTATTGTTGTTGTTATAGCATGTACTCTGATAATTTATGTTGGCAATTCGATCGCAGGCCGATTCATTGGGTGAAAGCATAGTCGGTGAATGCTTTGCATATTGACGTGATTCTGTTGGTGTATCACAGTAGTATGTATGCGTTACCGCATGTTCAAATGAATGGGCGACTGTTGGCGGTGATGATGTTGTTATCGTTGTCGCATTCATTGAGATCATATTTGTATTGTTATTATTTTGGCTGCCATTCACTCCATTATGCAAATGCATCGATGTATCGGCGCTCATATTTTGGTAAAAACAGTTCGCATCAGCATTATGACTTGAATTCGTGCTGTTATCATCATTTAAACTATAGTATGAATCAGAGAGTTCGCTGTGACTGTATGAAATGGGCTTTTGCTGTTGTTCAATCGTACCGCTACCCAAATCGAGCAGAGTGGCCGGCGGCGATGCAGACAAACTATTTAATGAAGATACATTTGCCGATCGAATCGGTTGATCCATTTGGAAAATATCCTCTGGTTGCAGCATATCACCGGAATATGGTGAATATTGATATACATCTTGAGAGCTCACATTATTGCCATTTACAGTGCTACTGAAATTTGAATTCGACTGATACACATTTTGCCCGTTCGCTTGAAATGTTTGATAAACAGCATCGGTATGCTGCTGCTGCTGTTGTTGCTGTTGTTGATTGCCGTAAGCCGCACCGCTACCGTAATTCAAATGGGTTGGTGAGTGCTGTTGATTTTGTTGCTGTTGCTGCGATGATGTTTGATTCCAATACGGTAGATTGTTATTTGCAGCGGCAGTAGTTTGACTCGATTGCATCGACATTTCTGTATTTTGCGAATGACAATACGTCTCTGACATCACACCATAATATTCACTCTTGAACATTTGTTGCGGCATATTATTATTCTCCAGTTTTACATTCATCGCACCACACACACAATGATACGGTGGACAACTGCACGATACACCTATATATCCGGAATCAGAGAGAAAGAGAAAAAAAACGAGACAAACACATTTTTAGAAACTGTTTATGTCTTGGTTTATGTGAACAAGAACGCCGATTTATTTTGACAGCACAATTGTTATCGCATTTTTATACAGACAAATCAGTTCGAGAATGAATCACAGTTCAATAAGTTGTGTTCAAACGTTTATTTAATTTGAAATCGTGCATAATTTTGACAATTTTTTAAGTGCGACTGTAGGAAAAGTGTTTATTGTGAAAATTACCTGAATTAAAGTCAGATATCAGTGGTGGCGGCCGGATTTTTTCAGTGCCTGAGTTTGATTTTTGTTTCTTAGCAACTGCGGTACGCAACGACATTAGCTGGAAAATAGAGAGCGAATTGATTAGGTTTGTGTCGATTGTATTTTATTGTGAATATTTGTTATGGTTTTTTACGGGAAATATTTTTTTTTTTTAAATTGAACTTCAAATAAATGTTGAGTGTAAAAAAATAAGAAAAACTTACTTTATTGCCCAATGCTGCGTCTCGTGCCAAAAGAACGGCCAATCCACGACTTCTTCTGCCGGATCCCATGGCTCGTCGATATTCAGTGCTATTTTTTGGTTCTGGTCGTGGATGATCGTGTACTCCTTTGGCTTGAAAAAATATTGCATTGTTTGTTGATCGCCAGAAATGTGTGACTGGATAGCCGCAATGTCCCCGACACGGACGAATTTCCAATTTTCCATTATGACAAGCGCTGTAATTGAAATTGTTCATTCAGTTTCAAGTTCAAGCGGTCGACATTTTTTTTCTTGTGTGTTTTGAAACACAAAAAATTCAAAGAAACTCACCGATTTGGGCATGGTTTTCCTTGTTGTTTCTTTCGTGCTTTGTCGCAAATGGCTGGACGTAAATGAATCTGTTCGCCGTTTGGCAATGTACAGTTGGCAGTACAAGTGAGAACACCCAAGCAGCTCTTCTTCAATATGTTGACATTGTGATTGTTTGTATTTCGCATTGCCCAGCCGGAAATATGTTTGCGTGCCTCTTCGCTTGTGTTTCGATACACATAACGAATGTGACCGTCGGCCCATTCTGAAAACTCGTCATATTCATGTTCGCCAAATGTTGGCACTTGCGGGTCATTTATATCCCAATCGCGTATTTTTGATGAACCATTACCGGTCGATGCACATTTTGATGCATGAATCGTATTGCTATTGTGTGTCATTAAAATGTTTGGCTGTTGATTTGTGCCTGTCGTTATTTGATTGTGCAAATGAGATGATTGTCTTGACAATGTCACTGGTGATGATGAATAACTCGAATATTTTCTGAAATGAAAAGGATAAACGTCAACCGTTAGTTTCGCAATGACAATAGAATTCAGACACAATAAGATTTTTTTTTGAAGGTCGTATAAACACTTGACTTGAGCGCACAAAACAAGAAGCGCACGTTATTATATAACAAACTCAGGTCATCATAATGAAACACAACAACGTCGCAAGGAATCATGAGAGAAAAGAAGAACATGAAAGAGAATTGCAATAAAAAAAAACACGTAAACGAACGTATGAAACGCTTCAGGTAAGAATAGCGCGGCGCTCAGTAAGATCCCTCTTTCAATATCTTTGTGACATTTATCTTCAATTTATACTCATTTGCTGGAAGCGTTCATTCAGTGGATGAAGTCAATGCATTGAGTATTTGCGGTGTTTTCTTATTCTCAATCAAGCCGTAGAAAATTACAGTTCAATAACTTTTGAATTGAGTCGGAGAAAAAGGGAGTTAAGTGTCGATTATAGTAATTGTTTAGTGGTTTGATACAGTTTTGAATTATAATTTTTTGAATGATGGAACAATTTCTCCCTAGATCCCAAACAAGATAAAATGTGTGTGTGCGTGTTACGTTGTATTAGTTGGCTTAAAGGTTCTTTGTTTTTCAAGTCTTTTGTTGATTTTGTTAAAAATATTAAACGCATCAATTTGCCAACGCAAAAGGTGTAACTATAATAACTCAATCTTTAAATTGATGGGGAAAATAAATTGAAATTTGTATATATAAAAAATTGAAGAAAGAAAGGGAATTTATCTGATTGAATTTGCTTCAAAATGATGTTTAAAACTAAATTAATGTCTGGCAAATATATTAAAATTAATTTTTAAAAAATTCAAATACTGGATACTTACAAAACCACCATATTTCTACTAATCCAATGGGAAGCTGCATAAAATTCGATTTTATTGTTTCAAAAATCAAAAAATAAATTTTATTTATGCTTTTACTTTTGAGCAATTTTTTTTGTTTGAAAAAGTTTCAATTGCTTCAAAGATCACTTTTTAAATGGATTCTCAATAAATTGTTTTTCTTTTTTTCAAACAGTTTCTGGTTCGATTTTTTCATCCAATAATCTTATTCTTATTTTGAAGTGTTCAAATAAGCAGTTTATTAAACACAACCACGATTTCAGCAAAAAATAAATATTTTTTAGTCTTTTCTTTTCAATTATAAGTACAAAATTATAACTCAAAAACAGTTGATAACAACACAAACTCGTCACAATTCACAAAGTGATAAAAAAAATTGTTCAAACAGATCGTTCGCCGAAATATTGAGGGAGATTGTGAGTCTAACTCGCGACCGTTCGGTTCTAAAGTTGTTTAGCAACTGACACATCAAATGTTGAACTATTTAGAAAGAGCATACGTATCACGAGAGTCCAAATATAACTAAAAAACTATGAAGCGAATACGCACGAATTCAAATAGGGTCCTGTGTACATGCGTGAATGTGTTTGTGTGTTGTCTCGTACTCTGCGTATTAGTCTGTAGAACAACGAAGCGACAACAATAGCTTGATCGCTTCCACAACCAACGAATACAATAGGATTTAAAAAAATAACCATATATATGTGTGGAAAGAGCCTGTGATATCGTCGCGCCGATACTTTATATTTGTACCATTTGAACGGCGCGCACAATGCACACAAAGCACAAAGAAAACACTAGAAAACAAAAGCGGCAAATGTAAAATGGCTCCGCCTTCTCTATGAGAATTGTGCACGGTGAACGTATGAGCCGAAGCAGATTCACAGTGTAAGCATACGAATAGAATGAGAGGCAGGGCCAAATACAATGAAATAGACCGTCGTGTCACCACACACTAGATAAATGCGCTCGATGTTTTTCATTGGTCGGATAAAATGTTCGGGCTTTGGTTGATTCATTGGGCATTAGCTTCTTTTGATTTAAAGCAATGATATTTCCTTTGGTAGAAAAGAAGGAATTCCAAAAGAAGGAACAAAGAGCGTTTTTCTCACATATAATCGCAATTTCTTTGATATGGAAATTCCTTTTTTGGATTATACAATTTATATCCCGTTCGAATACTAAATTCATTGCACACGTGTTCGACATTCAATTTCAATTTGAAAGACTGGTCTTTTCAAATAAATTAACCAAAACAGGAAACAATAAACCATTTTCAAGTTGTTTAAGTTACATAATTTTTGAACTTATGATGGCAATGGTTTACATATTAAGTGCATATCGGATAACAGCCCATTTAAACAATAGATGATTCATAAAAACGATGATAATTTTTGGAATGCAGTTTTCCGATGTTCGATTTTTATTGAAAAATGACCCAGGTCAATAGGCGTTATTGCATCTGAAAAATAACCGTTTTTTTCTCTTGAGTTCCGACATTCAGAAGGTCAGTGTCAAACAATTCAATGAATATTATGTTTAATTTACTTTATTTAACGAAAATCGTGTGCGTGAAAAACATGTTTTTGGGCGAATAAAATTCAATGATGTTCTTCAACATCGAACAACTCAAGCAATTGAACATTAAACAACCCAAAACAATTATTCGAACTTTAATATTTCGTTGCGTTCAAATGTAATTTTGATAAGATCGTCAGTGGTGCGCTAACAAGCTACTTAATGAAAACATTAAATAGTTTGTCATTTAATCAGAGACGGTTTGGCATACCATCGAATTTATAGAGAGAGAGAGAGAGAGAAAACAATGACTAAAAAAACATTCGAAAGTTGAAAATTGTATAAATAATTAAACATGCTTGAGTATATCTCAATGAGAATTCACAGAGCAGGATTTTCATCCTCGATAATAATTACTCTGTGGCACGAAGATATTATATATTTTTCGTTCGTTCTTCGGGATCTTAATAAGAAAATAGCTTTAATTGAAGGCATTTAAAAATAAAAAAGAGCGACCAAGAGAGAGAATGAAAAAAAAAAATATATCAACAACACACGGAGCTATTTTATGTTTATGGTTTACCCATTTAGTTGATGATGACAATGTCTTTATTGAGTGTTTAAATATGAACGGCTACACCGAAAATGAGCCTACATAAAAATGGTTAATTTATTTATTAACATTTTATGATGCGTACTTCCAATTTAATTTGAATAATGTTTTACAAGTTTTTCAGCTCCGTCCAATCTCATATCATTTTATTTGTTTTTCTTCTTCTTTTTCTGTTATGCGTTTTACATTTCACTTCATCATTCTTCGGCCACTTAATTTATTTCGATTCGCTTAAGTGTCACACACGCAGCATCTTCAGTATCATTCGAAGATAAAATACAAAATTTCACGAAAAAAATAATAATATTATTAAACATACCGAATCAGAAGCCACTACTGCCCATTTATAATTACGAGCGTGCACTCAAACCATCTTTTTGCATCACTCCGTCCAATTTGTATAACACGACAAAGATTTTTGTCGATTTAGTTTTTATCTCATCGTTCGTAATGTGATTTTTATGGTTATTAGTTTACATTCGGTTTTTCTCGCCGAATGACGCTCTTTTTTTCTGCTTACTACGCATACTTTGTCGAGTTTATTTTCAGATGTTTCTTGTCGTCATGAATACGTACATTTTTTTGCTCATTTTCTTGGTAAATTTTTTTGGTTTCCTAAATGTGAATGGAATTGAAATGAAATGATTTCAACTTTAAATTTAAATTCAGTTTGCCTTAAAGCTACAAAAGTAAGGACTTTAATCAACCGAATGCATGAACACGTTGAAGACTAAACACATTTAAGGATAACACCTGCGAACCCCCATCTAATCTTTGTAAGCGCACTATTCAACACGTTTTTGCCGCTTAATTAATTTAATTCCTTGCATATTGTTTTGAGCGGAAAAAAAGTTTTTCATTCTCTGTCAATGGCAATGAGCAATTTCACCCTTCGTCATTTTTATACGTTGCACTTTCAATTCCGACTTTTACTTGGTTTCCTTTTGTTTCTGCCAAAGAAAGTTTTGCTCTAAAACGGTGAACATTTTTTTTTTAAATGAGAACTGGTCGTTTCAAAGACAATGTGAGTGCACATATTTTCAGAAGTTTTGAATCAGAACATTCATGAAAAAGCATATTGCAGATTATTGATCGATGACCTTTGACTAATTTCAAACAAAAGTAAACACCAAATAAGTACCAGATTGAACTTCAATTCATTCCTGGATTACCGTTAATTCATTGATACAGGAATCCATAAAAATGGAAATTTACGCAAAAAATAAATTCAATTCAATTCATTCGAATTCATGAAAAATGCGATGGTAATGAAGGGCACATGTGAAAATCGATTGAATTTAAATTTAAGGCATGACAAAAATCCATCTGAATTAATCGATCGATCATTGAAATAGCATTGCACTCGACCAGTTGCTGTGGTGCGTGTTTTCCCCAAACGAGTCATTATTGTTTAATGTTATTTTTTCTGAATGGTAATTGACAAATAACAAGGAGTGTGGCAAAATGATACAAAAGATGTTGCAATTGCAGTTGTGTGTAGTAATGATAGATCACAATTTTTTTTCTAAATTGTTTTGTCATGATGTTTTGACATCCGTCTCGGAAGATGGTACAAAAGACAACGATACAGATTGCACGAGTACCAGAAGAATATCAATATAATTAAGAAATATTGCACAAAAACGCAAACACATTTCCTCTCTTTGCATCAAAATTACTTGTTTGCAAAAGTGTTTCGTGCTTTTTTTCAAAGATGTAAAATGCCGAAATGTATTCGCATTGAATGGAAAAAACATTTTTGTACCGTATTTATTACTTATTAATGGACTATTAAAATACATTGCAAAAACTTAAGAATGCAATGATGGTCGCCGACATAATGTGAATCTCATTCTCAAGTCTCTATATTTACAAAGATCCTGATGATGGATGATGTCCAAAAAATTGAAAGTGAAAAAATATGCAGGAATCGAGCTGCAAAAACTAACACAATCAGCTGAAGACACATTCGAACGCATAAAATTATTTTTTTTTTGTGTTGCTAACCTGTAATTTATGCATGTTGATCACTAATTTGACTTAAGTATATCTTATTACCTAATATGTTCATTTATTTTGTATATTGCCTCCTATTGAGCATCGTGAAATTCAGAACATGAAGAATCAAAAAAGTAATCATTGTAGTTGTTAATCTCAATCCTGGCAACAAAATGTTTAATATTAGTTTCAATATGGAAGCATTCATTTGTTCATTGTTTTTCTTTGAAAATATCGGAAGGCATTGCAAAGTCATCCGTTTATAATTTGATTTGATTGTTATTGCATCTTCTCACGTCAATATTAAATTCCGCATCGCGATTCATGGATCGTATGAAATCGAACGACGAAAAATGAAAAAAAAAATCGAAATTTTCCTATCTATCATCGCTGTTTTATGCTAGCCTCCGGCCAATCGATAATCATCGGTTCTGACACACATACACAAATTAAGTAATATGAAGAATGTCGATAACAAAAGAATCATTTGAACAATTTTAGGTAAATAAAAGTGCCGCAGATTGTGAACCAATTTTAATATGTACTTTTGTATATGTAACACAAAAAAATGCGTGCCATAATCAGTTACATTGTATCGCAGTAAAAAAAGAAGTAAAAATTAGAGCAGATCAAAAATTGATTTGCACCGAACGAGGCATTTCGAATTTGTACAGAAGTTCAATGCAAAAATGCTCTGAAAAATATAATTGGAAATGCTAAAGTGCTCGTGCAAATAACATGGTGATTTTAGTGATTTTGAATTACAAGCCGGCAACATCGATATACGTTTTTAATAGCTGACAGAAAATATAATGCATGTGCGGTAATCAAATGTCTATCGACCGTTTTTGTAAGAGAATGCAGCAATTCAAATTCACTTTAGGACATTTTTCATTAAAGAAAACCATTTCGTTTCTTAGATCGCACCATATTTACCTTGAAGCTTCGAATCAACATAATCGCTTAGAAAACACTCTTCAACCAGTTTGTTTTTTTTTGGTTCGTCCGCATTTCTTTTGAATGAACAATGGGGCGATACAAAAATGCTGCACTTGCATCTCACGAACACAAAATGTGTTGCCGATTTATGTATTAAGCCATAAATTATGATTTAGATTCGTTGAACTTCTTTTCAACATTTCAACATTGTATATTACGTCTATTTGCATAAATGAACACATTTGCAGATGACAGAACCACACAGAAAACATTTTCACCTGAATCATTACATTTGAATTTAACGCCGGTTTACACTCTCTTTCTCTATTGTACTCTATAGTTGGGGTATTTTTTTTTTTTAAATATGAACCATTACAACTATTATTCCGACTTGTCACTAGCACTGAACAGCGAACATATTACGACAGAATTTTTTTTTAGATATTTTTCACCCGCATCTTTTTCCGCGCATAAATGTCAAGCTGACGCACACATCGCATTCAAAATGATCACCACCAAAAACTCTTTGCACTACATAAAAGCAGTTAAAAAGGTCAACCACTACTTTTCAATTCGATAACAACAATTTATGCAGCAGAAGAAACGCATGACTTGAATGGTGAAATATTTTTTTTACGTTAATTAAAATGTATTCGTGATTACCTTTACGATTCAATCGAATTCAGCAAATGAAGCGTGTGCCTTTCTCGTGAAAATTATCATGGCAGAAAATTGTTTGCAGTTGAAAAATAAAACTTTTTGGAATCAGAAGATTTTATACAGTTTTGAAAAAGATGAAATTGGACTCCATGATTGAAAAATCGACGAGTTTAGGTAGGCAAAAAAATGGTCGGAATATCCAGCCACCATAAGTATTTTGGACCAACAAAAGAATGAAAAGTAAAAACTGCATTTTTAATAGATTTTTAACTATTCAAGTATTTGCATGTCAACCATAGTGAAATTTTAAACTATACCATGTGTCAACATGTTGCAATATGTCAATTGTCTTTATTCATGTCAACAATATTCTATGTTTTTAAATATTAATAACAAACGCTTGCGAAAATCATACCGAAGTAGGGAAAAACGTCATTAAATAAAAAAGGTTTTTATCAATGTGAACAGTGAACACACTTCAGCAGTAAATAAAGAGATGATAACCGAGTTAAAACAAAGCTAAGCACCACATTATAGAAATACATACGGGTACAATTAGCTGCTGTTCATTGAGTTTTGTCGCACATTTTCTTTTTGCGTGCCCCTCTCTCTCTCTCTGTCTGTCACTCTCTCTTAGAGCATAATATCAAAGTGTAAGCGAACATAGCCACAACCGCACACCCATACACTTATAAATAACAAACAAAAATTAACGTATGTTAAAAATTAAATCATAAAAGTGTATCATGAGCACCGTTTGCAAATGCTTGTTCGCATTTAGACGCTGACAATTAAAACACACAGCCACAGACAAAGCAGAGATAACATATTAATGATGTAAAATACCAAAAGTGTTTTTTATCTTCTTTTTTTCATTTGTACGTTTAGTGTGCTTGTATGTAATAATGATATCGTGTGCCATATATCCACGAGCCAAAAATAAACACACGTTATATAGATTTGAATGCAGCAGCTTTGGAAAAAAAAGAGCGCGTCAGATATAAAAATGTTAATTTTTCTTTAGATGGTGGTCGTTCGTTGAGATTGGCCGATTTTTCCAGACAGAGAAAGATTTGCGGTGTCGTGACGGATGCAAACCAGTTTTGATTTCACTGAATTTCAATTACATTTCAATGTATCAGATGCGAGAGGCTCTTAGGCGATTTGCGTGCTGTGTGGATCAATCGTGGCGTTTGTTCAATGTCTTTTCGTCATGATTCACAACTTTTTTTTACTCCTGTCTCGTACCTCCATTTTTTTTTCTGTTGTAACGTTTGCATAAATATGCGCAAGATGTTTTTCACTTTCGATGGCACGCTGCACTGGTTTTGGTTTTGCTATTTATCCTTCGTGTATTTCTGAAGCTGACTGCGATTAAAATGAATTCAAATGCAATTGCACGTTTGGTTTTGCGATTTCACCTGGCCATCATTCGCACATCATTTTTTAGTCTTATTCGCTTGCTCCTTTTACAATAATTACACGTCTATTACTTTAACTATTTCAATTTTATCAGCTGCTATTCATGCACAAGTTTGACTTTACAGTTGCTTTATACAGTTTTCTCTTTCTCTATTTTCTTTTTTTCTGGTTAGCATTGAATAACGGTCAACAATGGAAGTTGCAGTAAGATTGAATATGCCCAGTGCTTTAGATAGCGATGATAAAGACGTAGTTCCGGGAACGCCTGAAAATCACATCGCCCAACATATCGTCGATGATAATATTATTGCGGAGACATCATGCGCAAGTGACACAGATGGATCTAATCATACCGAGCCCAGTTTGTTTAGTGACGAAGAAGGCTTTTTGCAAAGCATATTTGACTATGAATCATTGAATCATCACGAAAATGACATTATTCCCGACTCAGATCCAAGTGAAAATGAAGACGAAAGTGAGGTTGAACTTCCATCATATGATGATTTTCGCAGAACGCTTGTGCATTCAGATGGAATTGAAAATGTTTACGTTCCTGAAATTGAAGCAATCCCTGAATCGAATTATCTTGAGAATGTGATAATTTTGGAGACGGATTCCAGTGAATCTTCGGAAGATGAGCAACATGAGGATATCGATGATGAGCATCAAGAAGAAGCTGCCAGTCACCTGAGTGATCACTCAAATGATTCACTGTCAGATGAAAATCAATCAAATTACTCATCCAACAACGAAATCATAATGGAAACTGATTTAAGCGAATCTGATGATGATAGTTTTCAAAGCAATGCAAACATTCCACTGCAAAATGAGTTGGATTTGGTTCCCGAAACTGATTTTATTGAGAATAGTGAGCCTGAGGATGAAGATGATGAGATTGTTTCTGAATCGTCATATACAAGTGAAGAAGAAATTGTACCAAATCATGCGAGTGATGATTTATTGTCACAAGCGTTGCAACTGCCAAATGCACC